CTTGAACACAAAACTTCAGCTACAAATGTCCTAAGCAATGCCGTACACAGCTGTCCAATTCCAGTAAAAGAGCAGTATAAATGGCAGTATAAATTGAGCCCTCGCTTTTAGTTTGTGTGTCAAATAAAAACTTGAATGAAAACTGAATTTCACAAATGGATAACTATAAAATAAAGCAGTGTGAAATTAGTTTGTTAAAGAAAACTTAACTTACCCAGAGAGTTTATGGAGATGGCTTTATTTACATATCCATTCAAATTCACCTTCAATAAATAATCTCCTAAATCGACAGACTCTGAGCTCTTGCAGGTTCCCTTGATTGTCTTGCGCGGCTGCCATGGGTCTAGCACAGGGAAACAATTCACCGGCATTGATTGGTGTAGAGCGGCCAGCCAGATCACGAAGAAAGCCGGGTGCATGTTGGGGAAATGTGCGGGATCATACGCTAATCCGCGATGTGCTCTATCTGCAGTGTTGACCACAATTGACGGGAAAAGAGGCCAAAAGTTATATTTGAAGAATGACAGCTCTGTGACTGGCCCAATCCTGTAGAGTTTTTTTTGGCTGACCGGATGTTAGTTTGAGTTTCAATAACTCTTTAGATAACAAGGCTAACAGTAAATTATGATCGCTTTTACCTAAAAAACGTGTTAACTATCAGGCTCAACAGAATTATGTAGTTTATATGTGCTGGAAATTATGTATGGATCGTTTAAATCCTACATTAGTAGGAAACGTCACCACCCTCGCCTCAAAGGTAATTGGCCCATGTGCCATTCCTGCTCTCTGCTTGAGCAATCGCCTTTACAGTGGTCTGCATTTCTATTTGTTGGTACAGTTTATTTACATTTTACCTGCAAGTAGAGGTTGCCTATATGACGGTCTGGGTTCTCTTTTGTTTTTGCCCCCTAGCCTCTACCTACATAGGGAAGTTGATAAGTACTGGACAGGTTAAATCTCTCTCTCGCTCACACATACACATCTGTTTTGCCCAGTTTTTGTCCCCTGCCTTATCCTCCTATCCCTGAACACATATGGAGTGTAGGGAACCAAATTGAACCATATTCTTCCCAAAACGTGGCTATATTTATTTTTGCCAAAGGGGGGAACCCCAGCTGCACATATGTCAATGTAATTTGAGTGTGCTGAAAATTCCAGTATAATCCTTGAAAGAGTTCAATTTACTATCATTTGCCACAAAGAAACACTCGCTGGCTTATTTTATTTTGAATAGTGTATAATATACTCCTCAATGTAAAATACTTAGGGTGGCCTTGACAAAATCAATACATAGGAGGTTCAATCATGCTAAATCCAGTTCACAATTTACATTAACCATAGGCATAACATAACAACCCATATAAAACATGTTTTATTATTATTGCAGGAATACAGTTGACTGTTGTGCACAGCACATACGTACAAAAATAAAAGGAAAACCATTTTTTATATATTAGTATACTTACTCGTCGACATATTTTTTCAGAAACAAATGATTGGAGAAGTCTGTTTTTCAAACTAATTTACAATCATTTCAATGAATCGGAACTAAGGCAGAAGGTAAGGTATATGTTAAGAAAGAGGAGGGAGATTTAGAGGATGCACACTCCCCTCAGTGCAGGAATATAAAACTGAGCGAGAACACAAACTAAGGCTGCCAACACCAGTATGAAAATGTATGCACTCACTAACTGTAAGTCGCTCTGGATAAGAGCGTCTGCTAAATGACTAAAATGTAAACACACAGGGACACACACAGACTCGCTACCGGCACCTTTGCAGAAGTTGGAGAGCCCGCAATGGATTGCATTGTAAGTTACTTCTAGGCTTGAACACTCTTTGAGCAGCTTTAATACATTTGGTACAAAGACTTGTGTGTAGGTCTAACAGATGTACACTGAACTAGGTGCCCCTTATGACATAAGAAGCCATTTTGACTGAGGCACAATTCTCACACTTCCAAATATCTCTTATTTCAGTTCATGTATTTGCTTGTTAATAATAATAATAATAAATGTATTTTATATAGCTCTTTTCATACAAAATCTCAAAGTTGTCCAGATAGTGTCATGTTGTCCATATGGACCGGCAAAAAAAATATGAATGATCAATACAATAGGATGTTGTTATCAAAACAAATATTAAACACCTTCATGAACATTCACATTGCATGTCTTATTATGATGACATTTTGGGGAGAAGAAGGGATAGAAAATAGGATGTTGCACCACCCAGATGAAATAAACCATGAATCCTGCTACGTCATCCCAGAAAGACACATGCAAGAACAGTGGAAAAGCTCGTTTTCATTCCTCAATCACTGATCATCATCCTGAATAGGTCATGATCAAGACCTTTTTCAGTTCCATTGTGACAATATAGGTAGGCTTGATCTGGTGCTATCTGTAGAGATAACTCTACTTGGAAGACTGAGCAACACTTTTAACTTGTTTTCTAAAACTATTACAGTATATCTCCAGGGAGCACCAATTGTTTTCAAGCCATAGAACCCTTAAGCACCATGGTTCAAGCACCTGCACTACTTGTTATCCATATAAAATCATGTTTTGTCTCATAACGGCCCACATTCAAAACAGCATTTGTGTTACATATTTTCATTGTCTGCCATCCTCTTTGTCTGCCATCTCCCTTGTATACCATCTTCATTGGAAGTAGTGCTTTGCTAGCACTGCACAGCAAGACAATTCCAGCTTATTCCTGACTCAAGGTAAATTGATCTGATAGCACCTCTGCTTTCTCTTTGGCTGTGGCAGATACAGAGTATGATGGCTGTACACACGGATGCTTTCTGTGTTCCATCTCAACTAGACACTGCATCAAGCCTGCAGCCTGTCTCTTCCTACTACAAGTACTTGGGTGAGGGTAAGTACCAGCTCACATCCATTTTACAGTCGGCTACCAATGAATGCTGTTTTGGAATAAGAATTTAACAGGTGTAAATGTAAAAGAGGTAAAAGATTACAACATTTCTTATGGATTCTACTCTGACGCACCAAACATACCTATAGGACTGTAATAACCAAAGATAAACGTCTTTAAATCAGATTATGCCACTCCATTCCCAATAAGTCCATGCTCATTGCCCACCAGTCAAAGAGAGGTCCAGAATCATCAAACCACTTACACCTAAAAATCATTGTATGTCATTCATGCAAGGTTTTCTTCGAGCTACATATCATCCATTAATAAATAAAGGAATAACAGAGTGAACGTAGATCAAAGGGGCAAAGTGATCCGGGTCAACCTGAACATCACGTGCCTAGACACAGTGAAAGAAGTCTATGACTCTGACCTTGGACTAAAATGGCTCCGGATGGGAGAGGAAGGATACTTCTGGAATCTCATGGCCATTGTTGAACAAAGGGTTTTACAGTGTCAACTGGCCAAGGGGGGTCTGCTCAGGTATTTGGGGAGTAGCTTGTCCAACATGATCCGCATACTTAGCAGGTTAAAAAAACAATGGGTACCACATGCACGGTCCCATATAAGTCCTCTTCTGCATGTCAGTCCAGCACTGTATATATTTTTCCCTCCACTATGGAAATGTACAGTATTTGAGGAGGAGAGCAAGCAAGCATTGACTTCAAATATGCTGCATAATGCACAAAGTCCAAACATCACTACAGTAAGCTTTTGGTGAAATGCTTTGAGACATTGCTTCTGTTTTTCTTTCACACAAGACCTTATAACTTAATAACTGGTTTAAAGAATGAAAGAAAGAAACAGGTACCTATGAGTACAATCCTTATTATCTAAATATCAGATATTAGATGTAAAAGACAGATTGCACTAGCTACCTGAAATATTGTTAGCAAATCTCAGTTGCATGAAATAAGCAAAGCTTCTCAAAAAATTTCACAGAAATATTGACATTACTTCAAATGAATGTAGCAGACCCTCATTTCCAGAGTAAATGTGAAAACAAGCACTATTTATGCAGCTCAATATTTACTGCAGAAATGGAGATACTGTAAGTGCTAAAAAAAAATCTAACCAGCGCACAAGTTAACTAACCAAAATGAATCAAACTGATCGCTACAGCAGGCTCCCTTTAGTCCAAGACCAGGCACACACACACATTTCAATCTGGTCTGACCATCTAGCCATCACACACTTAGCCTCATTAAACCATCTAGCCTCATAAAAGCCAGGATTGTCAAGCCCCCTAGGATGGTGGGTCTCCAGTTCTAGCTTCCCACACCAATGGCTGTGAGCTCGGACACAGAGTCTCAATTAGAGTCTCAATTACTTAATTGATGTTATTCTGGAAAGAAAATAAACTGAAGATACTTGTGGGCCTCTAGGAATTGGGCTAAAGCCCCCTGGACTGTATGAGGTTAGTGATGACATGCATGTCATCCCTATTTCTGACTGAGGGGCGCATTTCTCGCATGCAAGGGAAGGGGCCGCAAGTAGGAATCAAAGGCAGCCACCACCTCATCACAAAGCAAGGAAACAAACATTTGGCAAGTGCTCTAGTTACCCTTACTATACAATGGTATAATGTTGACACAGAGGACGGAAAATGTCTAGTACTTGATTGATAACGACAAAAGTTCAAAGTAAACAGGCATTCTTCTCAGTAGAAATTTCATGCACACATTTTTTCATTCGGGACGTGGCGCTTTGAGGTAATAAAAAGTATCCATTTCTAGAGGCTGAGCTGTCATCCACTGACAAGGCAAGGTCTCCACCAGTTATGGCAAGCACCCATATAAAGTGAAGGGGACAGATTAAGCTTCTCCACCCCTTATATAATACTAATTAAAATAATAAGCAGCAAATAATGGCATATCCATAAGTTCTAATACAAAGTAAGCTACCGAAATGTACATAAAAAAGACTGAATAAATACTATCATATATAGTGGTATTTCTTTCTTTTGCAGTCCATTTGTATTGGTATATGCATGTATACAGAATAATGTTACCTGGAAAACAATCCACATGTGCAAATAAGTGAGTTTTTGCCAGTTTTGCTCATATTCGGGGGAGGAAGTGTGTGACAGTCATGGCAGTGGTGGCTTTTTTGCCTCTCTTCAGACGGCCATGCTTGCTGAGAGCAATGTAGGAGCCTCTGTAAATGGAAGACTCATAGGCATTGTAGTTGTTTGGCAGCATGCTCTCTCTGAACTTGCACTCATCATGGAAGACTGTCTGAAAATAGCAAAGGAGAAAAGGTCTAAGAAAACATGTGGCCAAGTCTAGTTTCACAGTTAGCAGTTTGATATGGTTGTACAGGATGCACAGAAAAATACTTGCCATGCAATCATTTCATCCTCATCCGGAGTTGGTTCACATGTAAAGTAGGGGAGCCATGCACTAATATATTGTAGCAAATTTGGGGTTGAGAGAAGGCCATGAACCTGCAAACTTTTGTCTCTGAAGACTAGCACATCTCTTGCTCAATCCAAAATTAATAAGAAACAAAATTGTTTATGAGACCGTAAACGTATGTCCTTGAGGGGATATCTAACGAAAAGTACATTTTCCACATATTTTTGAAAACTAGAACTCAAAACTTTAAATCAACTGAGATAATCCTGAAATATCATATTCATTCAATTTCAAAGGAACTTACAATGTGAATGTTGCTGTTTTGGAGTAATTTATGCATGCTATTGGGAGCATGCTAACAGAGGCCCTACCACTCCCATACTCTGTGCTTGATAAAGACAATGCTAAACTGCAGCTTAATTAACAAAAACAAATGTTGGTTTGCTTACTCCCTGGGTCTATAGACTTTATGTGTATTAATAAGACTTATTTATGTGTATTAATAAGATGACGCAAATGTGAACCAACCCGTTAAAACATCAATGACTGGGGTATTATGCACAGGTAGCACTGCTGTGCCACTTATTTCTCACCCATATGGGTAATTAATTAGCATTTTAACCAATTGTTTATTGGTGCAATTATTGATGTCAAAATGTTTTTAATTGCATACACTTTGTAACTGTATTTTTTTGGTGACTCTGTTCATTCATGCACAATTGGAAAGCTGTGGGCCTTCTTGTGCGCACCTTGCACTTTGTTAATTGCGAATCGTGTTTGTTTATTGTTTAAACATTTCTCTAACAATATTTATTGGATAGACATTTTTGACCATTTTCTGCAATAATACGTTGTGAAAAGAGAGGATGTGCTGGGAGTTCCAACAAGACTGAGCTGATGACGTCCGTCAGAGATTCCCTAATGGTATCACTTGTGAAATCATCAAACCTGACTCTTGGTTCAATGTCCATAATCCTGACTCTTGGTTCAATGTCCATAATCAGAGGACGCACTTCAATCAGTGATAGCCATAGCCTACAAGTGTAACCTAACATGTAAATAGGCCTAATATTAATCTTTAAAGGACTAATTTCATACTGTCCCAGGTCCCGATGACAGGTTCTGGAGTATCAGGGGCTTTCCCTCGAACGCAGGGCCGTATTACAGCGCGTGACACAATTATGCGTCTGTTAACCTCATCATTATAGCCCAAGGCAAATCAACCATGAACAGGCCCTTAGCTCATTTACTGCCTATAATTTCAAAATAATGCATAATAAGATAGGGGGAGCATATCATTAACAGTACCAAATAGCCTACCATTCTATTATCATATTTATTGTCACATAATTCACAGCACACGTTAAGATAGGCACACCCAATAGTTTATATGACATGCAAATAAAACCCGACCAGTCATAGCGTAATAGCAAAGGCCACTATTCTCTGAGCCATTAACAAATATTGCAGGAAAATAAATGTAACTGTGCATACCTACCGTTCCGTATAACCTTCCTCGGCTATTCATTGCGACAAACAGCTCACTCCTTACCCCATACAAGCTAACCACTCCTCGCTCTACCGTTGAGATCTCTATTAGACCTAATTGAACAAAATACCAGATATTAGATATTGAAAAAATACATCCGATCAGATCGGTACAAAATATAGTTCATAATGTTTATAGCATATGCTCTGCGTCTGTGGGTGTAACCTTGCAGATTGCTACGCAGGATGCTGAGTCTTTGTTCTATATCAATTCCCACGTTCAATTTTCGATGTATGCTCAGCAATGTATAGGCTTAGGCTATCATGTATGCTTAATAATTGCCCTTTTGGACGTGCATGGTGACTGTTAGTTTCTGGGCCACTGTAGGAGCCAGTGTAAAAATAGGTTGTTGTCTAAATACGTCCATACATTCATGTCATGTTTGAGATTAAGGAGATAGTTAGCACTGATGGATACTGTTTTTAATAGATTTGTCTTTGCTCTAGAAGACATTCAATGCTCCCTTCGCGACTGATGACACATCATGCAAAATGGGCTACAGACGCTGTTAGATCCACAATTATTGATGACGACCCCTTTATGTGATGTCTATTGCGTTACATCTGTGGAAGCAACTCACTGTACTGGTTTTCATTATGTACACCATTTATCCTGCCGTCTGGGAGGACCTGAAGGTGAAACCCGATGCCCACGTTGCAGTAGAGCCTCCGGACTCTTTTGATACCTAGCAAATAGTCACTCTCCCAGTTCAGGTCCGATTTCTCCCCCGAGATGCCCAGAATGGAGCGGGAGAAGAGGGTCTCCCATCTTTTCTCCAATAAAGTTGCATTTGTCCTGCTTGGAATAGGATATGATGACACAATCCCCACTATGAACCCCAAGAGAACAATCGCAGTCAACGTCCAGTGCGTGCTGGCCTCGTAGGACATACTGATGAGGAACCTTTGCGCAATGGCCATCCGGTTTACCTTCGGGGCACGTGGTCAAAATGAATGGCCCTAAAAATACCACTCTTCTTGTTTTTCTTCCTTCGGCATGCTGGCAGAGGATTATTTTTGGAACGCGGATCAGGGGTCTGGGCATGAGACGACAGCCCCAGTGCAGAGGAGTAGAAATGGGAGTGCGCGTGGCAGAGCTTGAGATTGTGGCGGTGATGATTACCATGTTTTGTAGCTCCGCGCCTTTCTCTCTCTGTGGGCAACGCAGGCCGTGGAGAACACCACTCACCAAAACCCTGTTTCACCTTGCCAGGCTATCGCATCTCTAGATGACATCATGCTGACTTCACTGCTGCCCCTTCGAATAATACAAGGGCGGAGGATGGGGAGAGTGAAGTTGCAAGCAAGCAAGAAAAGAGGCGCTGAACTGCAGTGCCAAGTCTGTGGAGAGTTCAACCGAACACTGTCACAGCGCCCGTGAAACCGAGGAAGGGAGAGATCTCATTGGGTGGCGTTAAGCAACTGCGGGACATGATGGACACTTTGGCAGCTCCCAAATTGGGTCGGTGGTCATATGTCTGACAGGCTGCTTCCTTATTTAGAAGGAAGGTGTAAAAACAGTCCACTTGTCACCGGAGAGCAATGGCACCCTTGGGGGCCACTTCCTATGCTGCTGGTTCAAGAACTTTCCCAAACAATTCTTATTTTAAAACACTTGAATAGGCTTACAATTAAAGTAGGATGCATTAATGAGCACTGTGGTGCGTAATTTGGTTACCCCGAAACGTCTCGAATAGACTATTCCTTCCCCTGTAACATAAATGCATATCATATTTTCTTTGTAATGATGACACCATGGAGCATATGCCTATTCGTCTGTGGCGCGCTTCCACCGGTCCCCTGAATGTCATCCATTTGGTTGGGAATTCCGATGGATGGCGCTATTTCCAAGGTTTTAACTGTGCTTCATGCGCAACCATCATCGACCATAGTTCAAATAATTATGACAGACTACAAAGTTGTTCCCCAGTGACATACAAAATCTCAGACAAGCATTTTACAATGCAGTACATTTATTTTGTATAAAAAAATCTATTTGGTGACTGCACAATACCCAATCTGAGGGATCTATAATCAAAATTAAAATTATATGATTTTTATGAAGGCTGAAAACACAAAGAACACATTTGGAGCATCAGAGAAAACTGAGGACATAATAGCACATTCATAATCATACAGTCCTTGGCAAATAGGACCAATGTGAATATATCTCTGATTAAGTCTTATCCACCCCAGCACATTTACAAAACAGCTTTGTCAATCAACCAAAGCCATCTTCTGAAATGTGACCCTCGGTACTTGCTATCATGAGACCCAACTAACCTAAACACTGGGCATTTGGAAACATAATTAAAAGGACCACAACACTGTTGCTAAGTTATGAAATTCATTGGTTACATACACTACATGACCAAAAGTATGTGGATACCTGCTTGTCGAACATCTCATTCCAAAATCATGGGCATTAATATGGAGATGGTCCCCCCTTGCTGCTATAACAGCCTCCACTCTTCTGGGAAGGCTTTCCACTAGATGTTGGAACGTTGCGGTGGGGACGCTTCCATTCAGCCACAACAGCATTAGTGAGCTCGGGAACTGATGTTGGGTGATTAGGCCTGGCTCGCAGTCTGCATTCCAATTCATCCCAAAGGTGTTCGATGGGGTTGAGGTCAGGGCTCTGTGCAGGCTAGTCAAGTTCTTCCACACCGATCTCGACAAACCATTTCTGTATGGACCTTGCTTTGTGTACGGGGGCATTGTCATGCTGAAACAGGAAAGGGCCTTCCCCAAACTGTTGCCACAAAGTTGGAAGCACAGAATCGTCTAGAATGTCATTGTATCCTGTAGCGTTAAGATTTCCCTTAACTGGAACTAAGAGGCCTAGCCCAAACCATGAAAAACAGCCCCAGACCATTATTCCTCCACCACCAAACTTTACAGTTGGCACTATGCATTTGGGCAGGTAGCGTTCTCCTGGCATCCGCCAAACCCAGATTAGTCTGTCGGACTGCCAGATGGTGAAGCGTGATTCATCTCCAGAGACTGGAGCATGGTGATCTTAGGCTTGTGTGCGACTGCTCGGCCATGGAAACCCATTTCCAGAGGCAGTTTGGAACTCGGTAGTGAGTGTTGCAACCGAGGACAGACAATTTTTACGCGCTACGTGCTTCAGCACTCGGCAGCAACTTTCTGTGAGCTTGTGTGGCCTACCACTTCGCAGCTGAGCCTTTGTTGCTCCTAGACGTTTCCACTTCACAATAACAGCACTTACAGTTGACCGGGGCACCTCTAGCAGGGCAGACATTTTAAAATTGACTTGTTGGAAAGGTGGCATCCTATGACGGTGCCACGTTGAAAGTCACTGAGCTCTTCAGTAAGGCCATTCTACTGCCAATGTTTGTCTATGGAGATTGCATGGCTGTGTGCTTGATTTTATTCACCTGTCAGCAACGGGTGTGGCTGAAATAGCCAAATCCACTAATTTGAAAGGGTGTCCAAATACTTTTGTATATATAGTGTATGTCTAACAAATATCAACAAAACTAAATATAGGGGAAACTCAAAACAGAGAAACAATACAGTGGTTATAAATGATCCTGATGCAACAGTATGAACTACTTCCTGTTTACTCATGAATAATGATACAGGAGGTTGTTTACCATACCCTGCAAAGGTATTAGTCATCATCAGGACATCCAGCAAAGTTGCTCCTTTAAAACCAGAACTCACAGGAAATGGTCAGGATGAAATATTTAAAGCAAAACCATGTGTTTAAATATTATTAATGTACTATTATGCATGGTAAACCAGGAAATCATCAACTTTGTGAGTTGAGTTGGATTTCTGACAAGCAACCTATGATGAACGAGTGGGATGGAAGAATATTCAAATAAATTATATCGCTGAAGTCAAGATGTCTTTATACCACATCTATACAAAATAATAATTTATAATTTTTTCACAGAAATATATTTTGCCCTTTACACCTTTGACAGATGCAACAAAAAGAATAAATACTTTAATGCTTATGATTTTTAAAAGAACAATAAATAAATAGTTATGTCCAAAAAATTCTAAATGTTGTAGAGGCACTTGCAAAATGTAGCTATATTCCTAAGTTGCTGGCAGTATGTCCATATGCTCTACAGTAGGTCAGATAAGTATTTACTTGTCTGTGTGCAGGGGGAATTTTCTCAAAGTCATCTGTTATTTTCTAAAAGTGAACCTGTCTGTTTAGTAATTGGTTTTCATTGATGAGTGTCATGGTATTATCTTTCACTAATTGCCAATGAAATATTACAAAAAACAAGTTCATTTTGATCCCATTCTCAAAATGAGAGTATATATCCAATAGGGCCAACTAGCCAATCTCATCATTGCATAAATGGGCTATTACATTATGTTTGGTTATTATACAGCCATCCACATTTCTAATTGAAAGTCACAAAGAGTAGGCAAATCATACACAGAATGGATACAATATAAACATATTGAATGTAACACAAGCGTTTTACTAACAAAACCCCAATTTTGAAGAATAACTGAAGTCCACAATATATTTTGATTACTATTTAAAAATACACTCAGTGGCCAGTGTATTAGGTACACCACCCGTTCACGGAAATGGTTCACTCCTACAGACAGTGAGTCACGAGGCCATGGCTTGCTATATAAAGCAGGCAGACAGGCATCGAGGCATTCAGTTACTGTTCGATTTAACGTTAGAATTGGCAAAACGAGTGACCTAAACGACTTTGAGCGTGGTATGATCGTTGGTGCCAGGCGCACCGGTTCCAGTATCTCAGAAACGGCCGGGTTTACCGAGAATGGTGCGACAAACAAAAAACATCCAGCGGCAGTCATATGTGCGAAAATAGCTTGTTGATGAGAGGTCGAAGGCAGGCCACAAACAGGCAAATAACGGCACAGTACAACTTGTCAGTCCTTGTCACGGATGGGCTATTGCAGCAGACGACCACACCGGGTTCCACTCCTATCAGCTAAAAAACAAGAAGAAGCGTCTCCAGTGGGCATGCGACCACCAACACTGGACAATTGAGGAGTGGAAAAACATAGCCTGGTCTGACGAATCCCAGTTCCTGTTGTGTCATGCTGATGGCAGAGTCAGGATTTGGCGTAAACACCATGGACCAATCCTGCCTGGTGTCAACGGTACAGGCTGGTGGCCGTGGTGTAATGGTGTGGGGAATGTTTTCCTGGCGCACATTAGGTCCCTTGATACCAATTGAGCAACGTTTCCATGCCCCGAAGAATTCAGGCTGTTCTGGAGGCAAAGGGGGGGTCCGACCTGGTACTAAATGGTTGTACCTAATAAACTGGCCACAGTGTACAGCAGCAGATGAGATACAAAGTCTGTAGCCATGTTGCCCTGCTCTCTCTACTGCACTATGAAATTCACACACGTTTGATTTACTATCCTTGTGGGGACCAAACAATTGAATCCCTAAACCTAACCCTAACCTTAACCCTAAACCTAACCCTTACTCCTAACCTTAACCCCTAAGTATACAATAGCCTTTTTCCTTGTGGGGACCGGTGAAATGTCCCCACTTGTCTGAATTTGCCTTGTTTTACTTTCCTTGTGAGGACATCTGGTCCCCACAAGGATAGTAAAACCAAAAAAACACACACACACCTTTTCACAGACCCATGTTGACCTCCAACAGAGATGTACAATACACAGAGCAAAGTATAAACAATTTGACAGAACACAGAAAACTGTCATCTTGCATACCGAAACTATTTTCAGTAACCCAGTTCACTGTATTGCTGCAGTGTTGCTAGTATGACATTTTGGTCTTTTGCTCATGGGAATATTAATGGAGTTTCCAAAAATAAATGTACCTGGATTTTTTACAGCATTGATTAATTGACCTTATTTACTTTCCTAGAGTGTCATTTCAGGTTGAACGTGATGATAATGCCAGTAAAAATTATGTAATAAATATCACAATATGGCACTGTCTGACATTTCTAGAAAAGAGGTGAGATATCCTGAGATGACAGACTTCAAACAAAAATGCAATGATGCCATTGAGCCACTTCATTCTAACACAACCACAGTTACACAGATGACCTCACCCAAACAGGTTGCATAAGAAATTCCCATAAGAATATAAATATATGTATTCATATACAAAATATATACAGTAAACCTGTTAATTACCAAAAACCATCCAACACTCGGGGCCAGTTACCCTTAACATTCCCAATTTTTCTATTCGCAGTTTCTTGACGAACAAGTCCAATGGTCCCATTTGACTTATCACGTGTGTGATAACATGTATGTTTCGGTAAGCAATGCATAATCATTGTGACTGCAAGCACAACCTGGCTGAGAATAACAAACAGACAGAAATGCCCCTAGAGTAGCAGCATGGAGCTATGTGAGCCCAGATCCTTTCCAAAGCAGGTGATGGGCTCTCCAGATTGGCTATTTATATCTCTTGGCCAGTCTGCATGAGAAGTGGGCAATAATCTCCTGTTGACTTTGACTAAGGGCTGGATTCGATCCGTATCGCAGAAGTATCGCTGAATATCCACGTTATAGCTCTATTTAATTTTAAAGGCAATGTTCCCGCGGACTGCATTCACGGTAAAAGCTGCATATGTCGGCTTAATCGGAAATTACCTTTACATTTTAACGCAGATCCTCCGCAATACGGATTGAATCCAGCCCTAACAGCAGATTGTTTTAAAGATATAGCATTGACAAGCTCCACTTCACACATAGATGAGAGTAAAATGGTAATACATCTGTATTCCAGTTGTCTAAGGGCTGATGGAGTCTGATCATGCTGTGAAGCTAGTTGTACCTGAGGAGAAGGAGAAAGGACTTATCTGAGAGGCCATCTATGTGGCTGAGAGGAACAAGGTGAGAGACACTCAAAATACACAGACAGTCTCTCTCTTGTAGACACAGTAACTGGCTGCAGTAAACTCTGGAGGGAACAATTGTCATGGGTATACATTTGTCTTTAATTCTGCCGCACACATACACACAAACGTATAGACGGGCTGCCTCATTGCAATGCATTGGTAATGCCATGGCAACGGTCAGTAACGACACTGGAGTGTTGCAAGCTGGGAGCGGTAGTGCATTCCTTCACTCCTGGTTACTGGTTCTTTCAGCTCTTGAGGTCCTTTTGGTCAAAGATGATGTGGTTGGCCAGATAGATGGCGATGATGCCGAAGATGGCGGAGGAGGCCATATAGGCAGTGACGGACTTTGTGAACTGAACGATCATGCCCATGAAGAGAGTAGGAAAGACCTGAGAGAGGAGGAAGGTGCTATCCAGGATGGCAAAGTCCAACCCTACGCCACGCTTCTCGTAGCCCTCTGGCTCATCCTGCTCGGGGCCCGTGGCACTGTGGGACGATCCATTCTGTCCGTGGGGAGGGGGGTAGTAGTCTGAGCCGTCTTGGCTGAAGAAAGCATGCCCGTTTGTGCCCCCCAGTTTGTGGGCCAGCCCTCCCTCCTCGTCCACGGCTGTCAAATGCGTGATCGAGTCCTGCTTGATCACAATCCCGTTCTTAAGCAAGTTTTTTATTTTATTTTTTGGCATGTAAACCTGAAATGCAATGAGAGATAAGTAAATTCATTATACAGTCGAGGGCTAGGCAGTGTGTGCAAGGGAGTTTGTTTGTGTAGGGCTGGACTGGGTGTGTGTAAGGAGGGAGCGAGAAAAATGATGTGACTATGAGCACGATGTGAGCGTTTGTTTGTATTGGAATATAAGTAATATACAGTTGAAGTCGGAAGTTTACATACACTTAGGTTGGAGTCATTAAAACTTGTTTTTCAACCACTCCACAAATTTCTTGTTAACAAACTATAGTTTTGGCAAGTCGGTTACTTGCTTGTCGGTTCTACATTGTGCATGACACAAGTAATTTTTCCAACAATTGTTTACAATTGTTTACAGACAGATTATTTCACTTATAATTCACTGTATCACAATTCCAGTGGGTCAGAAGTTTACATACACTAAGTTGACTGTGCCTTTAAACAGCTGGGAAAATTCCAGAAAATGATGTCATGGCTTTAGAAGCTTCTGATAGGCTGATTGACATCATTTGAGTTAATTGGAGGTGTACCTGTGGATGTATTTCAAGGCCTACCTTCAAACTCAGTGCCTCTTTGCTTGACATCATGGGAAAATCAAAAGAAATTAGCCAAGACCTCAGAAATAAAATTGTAGACCTCCACAAGTCTGGTTCATCCTTGTAAGCAATTTCCAAACGCCTGAAGGTACCACGTTCATCTGTACAAACAACAGTATGCAAGTATAAACACCATGGGACCACGCAGCCGCCATACCGCTCAGGAAGGATACGCGTTCTGTCTCCTAGAGACGAACGTACTTTGGTGCAAAAACTGCAAATCAATCCCAGAACAACAGCAAAGGACCTTGTGAAGATGCTGGAGGAAACAGGTACAAAAGTATTTATATCCACAGTAAAACGAGTCCAATATCGACATAACCTGAAAGGCCGCTCAGCAAGGAAGAAGCCACTGCTCCAAAACTGCCATAAAAAAGCCAGACTATGGTTTGCAACTGCACAGGATCATACTTTTTGGAGTAATGTCCTCTGGTCAGATGAAACAAAAATAGAACTGTTTGGCCATAATGATCATCGTTATGTTTGGAGGAAAAAGGGGAACGCTTGCAAGCCGAAGAACACCATCCCAACCGTGAAGCACGGGGGTGGCAGCATCATGCTGTGGGGGTGCTTTGCTGCAGGAGGGATTGCTGCATTCACACAATAGATGGCATCATGAGGAAGGAAAATTATGTGGATATATTGAAGCAACATCTCAAGACATCAGTCAGGAAGTTAAAGCTTGGTTGCAAATGGGTCTTCCAAATGGACAATGACCCCAAACATACATCCAAAGTTGTGGCAAAATGGCTTAAGGACAACAAAGTCAAGGTATTGGAGAGGCCATCACAAAGCCCTGACCTCAATCCTATAGAAAATGTGTGGGCAGAACTGAAAAAGCTTGTGCGAGCAAGGCGGCCTACAAACCTGACTCAGTTACACCAGCTCTGTCAGGAGGAATGGGCCAAAATTCACCCAACTTATTGTGGGAAGCTTGTGGAAGGCTACCCGAAACGTTTGACCAAAGTTAAACAATTTAAAGGCAATGCCAAATACTAATTGAGAGTATGTAAACTTCTGACCCACTGGGAATGTGATAAAAGAAATAAAAGCTGAAATAAATCATTCTCTCTACTATTATTCTGACATTTCACATTCTTAAAATAAAGTGGTGATCCTAACTGACCTAAGACAGGGAAGTTTTACTAGGATTAAATGTCAGGAATTGTGAAAAACTGAGTTTAAATGTATTTGGCTAAGGTGTATGTAAACTTCCGACTTCAACTGTACATGGCTGTTTACTCAGCCCTGATACATGGCTGTTGACTCCTATGGTGTCTAAAGGAGTCAACAGAATTGTATCACGGTTCAAATATGATCTCATATGTACACTATGCTCAGTAAGTGCAGGGAGTACTATATGTATGTGTGCCTTTCTGTCTTTACCTCCATTTCCTTGTGGTAGTGGCAGGTGAGGGTGTACGGCAGCGTCTGCAGCGTGGCGTAGGCAAAGCCGGTCAGCGCCGACATCACAGTGACCAGGACCACACTCTTGGACATACAGATGACAAGGGCAGAGATGGTGAAGCTCACCATGCTGCTCATGTAGACCCGGCGCGAGCCAAAATGGCGGACCAGTCGGCTCATGAGCAGGGAGAAGACGGTAGAGGTAGCACACTGCAGGAACAGGCCCAGGCTGCCCATACGGATGCCTGCAAGACAGGGTTGAAGTTGTGGTAACAAATTAAGATACAACATTATGTAATACCACTTATGTCCCTAACATACAGTGGGGAGAACAAGTATTTGATACACTGCCGATTTTGCAGGTTTTCCTACTTACAAAGCATGTAGAGGTCTGTAATTTTTATCATAGGTACACTTCAACTGTGAGAGACGGAATCTAAAACAAAAATCAAGAAAATCACATTGTATGATTTTTAAGTAATTAATTTGCATTTTAATGCATGACATAAGTATTTGATCACCTACCAACCAGTAAGAATTCCGGCTCTCACAGACCTGTTAGTTTTTCTTTAAGAAGCCCTCCTGTTCTCGACTCATTACCTGTATTAACTGCATCTGTTTGAACTCGTTACCTGTATAAAAGACACCTGTCCACACACTCAATCAAACAGACTCCAACCTCTCCACAATGGCCAAGACCAGAGAGCTGTGTAAGGACATCAGGGATAAAATTGTAGACCTGCACAAGGCTGGGATGGGCTACAGGACAATAGCCAAGCAGCTTGGTGTGAAGGCAACAACTGTTGGTGCAATTATTAGAAAATGGAAGAAGTTCAAGATGACGGTCAATCACCCTCGGTCTGGGGCTCCATGCAAGATCTCACCTCGTGGGGCATCAATGATCATGAGGAAGGTGAGGGATCAGCCCAGAACTACACGGCAGGACCTGGTCAATGACCTGAAGAGAGCTGGGGCCACAGTCTCAAAGAAAACCATTAGTAACACACTACGCCATCATGGATTAAAATCCTGCAGCGCACGCAAGGTCCCCCTGCTCAAGCCAGCGCATGTCCAGGCCCGTCTGAAGTTTGCCAATGACCATCTGGATGATCCAGAGGAGGAATGGGAGAAGGTCATGTGGTCTGATGAGAAAGAAATATAGCTTTTTGGTCTAAACTCCACTCGCCGTGTTTGGAGGAAGAAGAAGCATGACAATGACCCAAAACACACGGCCAAGGCAACAAAGGAGTGGCTCAAGAAGAAGCACATTAAGGTCCTGGAGTGGCCTAGCCAGTCTCCAGACCTTAATCCCATAGAAAAGCTGTGGAGGGAGCTGATGGTTCGAGTTGCCAAACTTCAGCCTCAAAACCTTAATGACTTGGAGAAGATCTGCAAAGAGGAGTGGGACAAAATCCCTCCTGAGATGTGTGCAAACCTGGTGGCCAACTACAAGAAACATCTGACCTCTGTGATTGCCAACAAGGGTTTTGCCACCAAGTACTAAGACATGTTTTGCAGAGGGGTCAAATACTTATTTCCTTCATTAAAATGCAAATCAATTTATAACATTTTTGACATGCGTTTTTCTGGATTTTTTTGTTGTTATTCTGTCTCTCACTGTTCAAATAAACCTACCATTAAAATTATAGACTGATCATTTCTTTGTCAGTGGGCAAACATACAAAATCAGCAGGGGATCCAAATACTTTTTTCCCTCACTGTATGTTGACTAGGATGTTACTTTAGCTAATATGTGGACAACGATGTAGGCTGTGTGCAGCGTTTTTTTGCCTGGTCACTTACAGCTGATGTGTTGTGCATTGAAGTCCACAAACAAAGGGAAAAGGTGAGAGGAGGAGAGTGCATAGATGCGAGAAGGAATACAATGTGGCTGCTATGAAAGGGAACTGTGTTTATGTGTGATCAGGGTTGTATTCATTCCGCCGATTCTGTTGAAAAACGTATCTTAAACGGAAGCAAATGAAATGGGGATAAAAATACCTGAATTTGTCCAATAGAAACTATCGTTTGCAACATTTGGACTAATGATTACAGCCTAAATAAGCTAGATGCAGGCAAGCGTGTGCAAGGCGGTATTGAATGTGTCACTGTTTGTCCATGTGTCACTGTCTGTCACCTTTTCTTGCGACCTGTGTGCACCTACGTTGTAAACTTTCATTCATAGGCTAGGTTATAGCAACCTCATGATGGGTATAGGGAAAGATGGAGTATCATGTAGTAGCCTAAACCTATCGATGTTACATTGAACTGGGCGAATGGAATATGAATGACAGTCATCCAATATGCTGTAATAGAAATAAGGCCATGCTCATAAAAATAAAAATAATGTCCTCCCTCATCATAAACGCCACTGACCGCGACTGTCTGACACTGGCGTTTGCCCCATGCTTAAATTGCGTAGAGAGAAAAGTGCATAAAATGGGAATTAAGTTTAATTTATGCGCTCATAACTCAGGTTTGAATTCCCCCCTAAGTGCATATGACACAAGTTCAGCAACATGGCCACTAATATTACATGGGAAAAGGATGTGGATTGACTAAGCCCACATTACAAACACTGCATGAGATAGTGGATTAGCTTTAACCAGCATTGGAAGTTCAGGGTATACAATCAAATCTGCACTGAGGAAAAGCCACATTGCAGTAAAAAGGGTAATCACAATTATGGGGTGTTGTAATAAATACTGTGTTACAACTTAAATAAATATGACAGGCTTCAGACTTTTGTGCTTGGCCTCTGCCCTGTACCTTAATGAACATGCTCTTTGTGCACTGATTGTTTGACATTAATGCACTGTGAGTGTGACATTCCTCCTGGTCCTGCAGGCATGGGGGGGGCAGGAGTAAGGTGGGGAGGGAGCGAGGGAGGGAGAAGCAGGAAGCCTTGCAGAGCTCCACTACACACAGAGAACAGACCTGGAGGGTTGACATGGGAAACTTCTCAGTGTGGGAGAAGAAGGTGCCTTTCTTTTTGTCTCTCTCATCTCTGTTTCTCTCTCTTTGCCTCTTTAGCTCTTGGTCGGTCTCTCTCATCTCTGTTTTTCTCTCTCTGTCTCTTTAGCTCTTGATCTGTCTCTCTCATCTCTGTTTTTCTCTCTCTGTCTCTTTAGCTCTTGGTCTGTCTCTCTCACCTCTGTTTTTCAATCTCTTCTGTCTCTTTAGCTCTTGGTCTGTCTCTCTCACCTCTGTTTTTCTCTCTCTTTGTCTCTTTAGCTCTTGGTCTGTCTCTCTCACCTCTGTTTTTCAATCTCTTTGTCTCTTTAGCTCTTGGTCTGTCTCTCTCACCTCTGTTTTTCAATCTCTTTGTCTCTTTAGCTCTTGGTCTGTCTCTCTCACCTCTGTTTTTCTCTCTCTTTGTCTTTAGCTCTTGGTCTGTCTCTCTCACCTCTGTTTCTCTCTCTGTCTCTTTAGCTCTTGGTCTGTCTCTCTCACCTCTGTTTCTCTCTCTGTCTCTTTAGCTCTTGGTCTGTCTCTCTCACCACTGTTTTTCTCTCTCTTTGTCTCTTTAGCTCTTGGTCTGTCTCTCTCACCTCTGTTTTTCTGCTGCGAGTCTGGGATATTATGTTAGTCAGATTCAATGCAGTTTGAAGGTCAAAGACACTGACGGTGTTCTTCTCCTTTTACACTGATCTTCTCCTTCTCATCCAATAAAGCTATGCAATCTTCTAGGGGATTAGGAACCAGACTCTTAATGACTTGCGTATTTAGAGCTAGGACAGAGTGAACTGCACACTTTATTACCAGGTAGAAAGGTACAGTGTCTGTAAATTCTAGGTAATATTATGGCAACACCGAAGCTTGCTCCTCTGCCTGACTACCTCCCACCTGTGCCATTGGAATGTGCACGCATCTGGCCCAGCTATGGCGGAGGGAGCCGTCTGGGCCGCCAAAGCAGCTGAGTGGCCAGGTGGTGTTGGTGAAGATGCAGACGTGGGGAGGACTGAGGACAGGACAGGCAGGGTGAACTGGACTGGGGACAGGACAGGCAGGGTGAACTGGACTGGGACTGTCTGCACTCTGAGGCCTCACTAGTAGGGTGGGGGAGGATTCTATCTTTCTCTATACAAAATCACTCTATTGGATGTGGCCGTTTGAGAACTTTGGGTTCTCTGATTGTGAATACATCAAAGATCAAGGATATAATGAAGCAGAGCTTGCCCAGCCAAAGCGTGTATATGATAATATCAAATAGTGTCTATATGAGAGATGAAGAGGCACTCTGCCAAAGTAAGTGATAGATCACACATTATATCCACAGAGAAGAAAGCCAACTCACCGTCGTCGTAGCGCTGCCTGGAGGCGGTCCCCGGTGCGGCACTGGGCACGCCCTCGTACAGCCCCTCCCCCACAAAGTCTGTGTAGAAGAGCATAAAGGACATGACGGCCATCCAGCTGCAGAGCTGGGCCACGCACAGCTGCCTCATCACCCGGGGCACGTGGCAGTAGCTGCGGTAGATGGCCGGCGTCATGGACCAGCACGTCCTCAGCAGGCACAACAGCGGGCCTGACTTCAGAAGCCGTAGCTTGCACTTGAGCAGGTAGCAGCAGGAGCGCGGCACGCCGCAGCGGCCCGCCTCCAGGAGAGGACCTGGCTCCAGGGCCGCCACGCCAGCACACGACGGCTCCTCCGACACCTTCATGGTGATAAGCACGCTGGTCACGAAAATGAGGATGAGCATGAAGAAGAGGCACTCTGCCTGGCCGCCCAGGTAGACGGACAGCAGGCCCCGGCTCCAGTCCAGTGCAGGCAGCAGGTAGCCCACGCAGCCTCCGAGGCTGACCATAAAGGAGAACATGGCGAAGGCCTGGTTGCAGTCCTCCTCGTCGTGGTACAGGTCCGAGAGGAGCGCCTCTAGCGGCGTGAAGCACACCTGGCCACAGAAGTCGAGCAGGCCCACCCCGAGGATGAGGAAGGCCACCTCCAGGGTGCGTCCGCCCCAGGTGAAGTAGGCAGCCAGCAGGTCGGCGTGGGGGATGATGAGGAGGGCTAGGAGGACACCCAGGGACAGCAGCCAGATAAAGGGCCGGCGGCGGCCATAGCTGCTGTTGCAGTGGTCACTGGCTGAGCCAATCACAGGGATGAAGATGAGACCTAACACTGGGCCAATACCTGGGGGGGGGGGGGGGGGGGGGGGGGGGGAGGGGGGGGGAGGAGGGGGGAGAGAGAGAGAGAGAGAGAGAGAGAGTTTTGACTTTCGGATGATGAGAGGGGAGTTAGAGACGATGAGTCAGTAATTGGAGACGGACACTGTAGAGAGCGAGCGACGAAGACCTCAGGACGAGCAGACTTTTGTTTTAGCGATGGTGAGAGAGAATGAGAAGAGGGAGAGAATGAGATGAGAAGAATAGGTATGGGCATCAGTGATGTTGATCATTGGTTTGCAGTAACCAAAGTCAAGGGTTTTGTGGTCTCTGTAGCTCAACTGGTAGAGCACGGCGCTTTGTAACGCCAAAGGGTAGGGGGGTTCGATCCCCGGGACCACCTATACCACAAAAATGTATGCACGCATGACTGAAGTCGCTTTGGATAAAAGCGTCTGCTAAATGGCATATTATTATTATTATAGGTTGGTGCGTAAAACCAGTTAGTTTAGTTATCAGTATCAAAGCAATTGTCATAAATACATAAAAGAGTCAAGTAGGTAAAGCTGTTATGATTGAAATTGCCTTCAAGAACAATTGAGTGAGTTACAAGCCAACATGAGTTCTTCCACAATATTTCCCTGTGAACTGGGAAATCTGCAATCCAAAAAATGTCCTGGCTGCATCTGATAGGGCTTGGAGGCAGGATCTCCGGGGGTATGTGGCCCACTGGCCCCATCACTGCTCTATCCATCTCTCTGAGTGCTAGTGAAGGCTGCCTACAGATGGTTCTGTGCCCCAAGCTAACCCACCATCAGCCTCCCTCTCCTCCCCACTGCTGGCTTGGGCTAATTAAAACACCCCATGACAAAGGATGCTTGTGGAGCAACACAACTCACATTCAACTTACATTCCCCACAATGGCCAGATGTATGCCTCTGGTTTCACAATAGGAGCACGCATGGAATGCTTGTTTTGAAAACATGATTAAAAATTCCATAGAGAAGAGAAATATAACATTAACTGGATCCACATGAGGGATGCCACGAGTGTCATTCTGATGAAATATGTGTGTAGACTGGAGTACTGTATGAATAGGTACATTCCATTTTTCCATTCCCAGACAATGACCTTTTATGTAAGGGATAATCAACGATCTATGGAAAATAATGAACGACGTGGAAGGTGTGTTCCACGATGTGCTAGCCAAGTGGAACTAACCTTCCACGGAGTTGGATTATTCCTTTTATACCATTGCTATTATTTAACACATTTGCCGCTAGAAATGTGTTCATTTGAAGGAAGGAATGTGTTAAACATCCATTGAAGTAGCTAGCAAGTTTACTAGATAGCTACAGTAGTTGCCTTGGTAACCAAACTAACAGACTTGCTTGTTTAGCTTACCAAACCATCAGTCCTAGCTTGCTATTGTGAAAATCGAATTCAACAATGCCAATAATGCTTTCAAAAGCAGCTCGAACATGAAAGACTGAACTATACTGTAGCCATTGAATTCTACCATGCTGATATACCGTGCGTTATAGGGAATTATACAACGGGTGGGTCTAATCCTGAATGCTGATTGGTTAAAACCGCATTCAAGCCGGTGTCTATTCCACAAGTTACCACCGGCTAAATCTATGACGTTAAAATGCCTATTTACTCTGTTCCATCTGACTGCACAATCCACTGTCTCATCAGCCCAGCCAGGCAATTTATAAACTTGATCTCCACTTTAAAAAGCATCTAGACATTATCTCACATTTCTTTTAGACTAACATTTAGTCTTCAACAGGGGAGATTTGTATAAACCTTGCTGTCTGTCTCTCCAACATTTGCAACATTGTTTCAATATTCAAATTCTATCTCCAGCTGTTGCATAGAAATTAACGTGTCGGGAGTCGGGATGAGACAGACAACGAGGCAGCTTTTCTCAACCAGTTGAAATCATGAATTAGCATTATTTGTATGGATATACAAAGAAAAATCAATAGAAAACTGGTCAAAAGAAACGAAGTGCAGCTAGTTTGCAGTCTTTTCAGCTTCAGTTTGAAGTGATTGTTAGCTGTGTTGTTGGCTAGCTCCTTTGAACAACAATGTCCTGACGAGAGAGCACATTTTCTATGCCAGGTGAAATCGCTCATTGTTATTGATGTACCAAATAAAAATAACAAATAAAACAGCTTAAACAAATGCAAATACAGCTACTTTGTTGTTATTCTGACGTGACTGTAAGTTAGCCGTAGTTGGCTAGCTAGCAAGTAAGGGAAAAGAACGTTGCCAGCCAGTATGGCAATAGAACATTTAGAACGAACGACTGGGTTGCGTCCATAGATGCAGAACAAAAAGACTTAACGACTGGGTCGCGTCTCTGGCAACCTAACCGATAGAACGAATGACCAGCCGGCTTGGGTAGCAACCCTAGATTTGTGTCGGGACTATATCTTGTGGAAGGATGAAATAGTATGAATACATTTATCAAAATAATGTTTTTAATGAAAATATGTAAATCATTATTTGAATATGTTGGTAACCCCTTGTATAAAAGTGATAATGCCCCTTGAAGCCGGTGTTTGGAGGATATATTGGCATGGTTTGCTAACAACATCCGTGCCAATATATCCTCCAAACACCGGCTTCTCTGGCATTATCACTTAAATAATGCACTCTCTAGAATGCCAATCAGAAACGAGTATTCAACAATGCCATGGTATAAGTATGGGATTAATCGACCTGGATGGATATCTGACAACATGCTGTTGAAACTGTTACACAATTAAATGAAAGAAACCATATACTATTTTATTGGGATTCAGTCGTTCTCAGGAAAACATTTATTCGATTTCTTGAGGTAAAAAAGACACCGTTGTGTAGACTAGAGAGGAAGGGGCACACTGTGTGCGTCAGACGGACGGACAGACAGAGTGAATCACTACAGTCAAACCCTCAGTCACATATTTGCCTGGCTGCCACAGCAGCTGTGGAGGCCCATCATAACAATCCAGTGTGTACAGCCTGATGGTACAGCTTGAACTCTCACTCTCACACACAACCCTACACCGCTTAATATAAGCTCTCCTTACCTCACCACACACCACATACAATACCAGGCAGTGACTTTGTCAGCTGCTACAGAATCACACAGTGTTCATAGAATGCCACCAATACAAATGATCAGTGTGTCCTCGGCCCAGTCTGGCATCAAACACTATCAACTGATATGAGAAAAATCCACAACATTCAAGTCTGGCGACCAACAACCTTGCACAAACAGAACATTGTATCGACCACTCTTAACTGAATATACACTTTATTCATCTTAAATATTCCCATTACAAACATAATGTGCTCTCTAACTAGGGTTGGGCGGTATCCCGATTTTCTTATCGTCATATTGTCCTTCTCTCATACATGTATATACGGTATTACCGGATTAGTAGACAAGGGGGCGCCCAAAAAACGAGAAAAAAACCCAATTGGGCGTCTATTAACTGAATGCTAACAAAATCTGCACAAGTAATAGCACATTTCAATGGTGGCTGCTAGCTAAATATGCTAACGAGCGCAAACAAAAATAAACTAATTGCAAAGACAGGCAATCTAGTTCATAAAGTTATACATACTGTATATAGGTAGGAGCTACCGAATGTCATTTTTGGTGAGTTTGGACATTTACATGTGAATGTGAATGAGAGACATTGTGCAAATGAACAAAGTTTTGACGCATGCTTGTCTGAAGGAAGAACAGAACTGGCTCTGGAGCTAAATGTGTAGGCTACAAGTTGTGTCTGTCTGGAGTCGCAACGGAGACAGTGGGACTCTAGACTCTGAGATGATGGGGGAGGAACAGACAGGCTGAGAGGAGAAAAAACGCAAGGAACTCAAGAACTGTACAAATAACTCATCCAGAAAGCTAACACAATATGATGCCCCGTCACCTTGTTAATTCAGCCACTTACTTAGATTAATTAGCAAGTTAAATTTAGTGGTCGCGTTCATGCAGAATTCTGCGTTATTCAAGCAGGAAAAAAAGATACAACGCATAAGAATTATCTTGCTGGGTTTTGTAAACGCAGATGTAAAATGCTAGTTATTGTAATTTCTGCTCAGCATCAGACTAATTTCATGCTTCAGTTGCGCTCTGACTGATGTGTAGCTACTTTTCTCCAGAACTTTTCTTGGTGTAGCCAGCCTAGTTTTCTCTGGTAAAATGTAAGATTACCTTTAAGCAAAACATTAGGAAATGTAATTGGCTACATTCTTTCTATAACAAACATTAGAAATATGATGGCCATGCATCGTTTTTGTAAAAAAGCTCATGCTTTTTCATTGTAAGCTCATTTACTTGTGTGGCTGCCAGCCAATTAGCATTGCACTTCTGTTGTCATCTGATGAAAATGACGCTATTTTCTGCCGAATGTGTTGCACTAATGTATTGTCTGTGAACAGGGACGGCCTGTTCAATAGGGCGATATGGGCGACGCACTGCCAAACGGGAAAAGGAAGGGATTTTTTTTCTAATCAATTATATCACGGCAACAGTAGTTATCAGTGTTGTAATCTATACGTCTGATCTGCCACAGTGCCACACTGCCACTAAATGTCGAATCAGGCTAAAGTCGTGCTTCAAATGGCTCCACCCCCTTTTGGGGCGATTTCAGTCAGATTGAAAATCGCCCAGAACTTCTGTCATAGACTCCCATGTAAAATCTATTTTTTTCAAATTTCAGAGCCTTCAATACAATCTCAATGGGTGTCTGTGTGCTTGCACTTACGCGCTTTCGTCATACGTTACGTAACCATGAACGTAACTGAGAAAAGAGTGGATTGTTTGAAAGAAGTTCCTTTTTGTCGGCGAACATATGAAGATAAATTGGCAACGAAACAATTAGGACCTCCCAGACCAAATTTAATAATTCAACAGGTTTCTACTAAAGGCGGAAAGTCCTACACCCGAGGATTTTCCAAAAATTGGTACGAACGAAAAAAGATATTGCCACTCACTCAACTGGATGACGAGGGATACAGGCTAGCTGTCCGCCGCCACAACGATGAGGTTAGTGTTGATAATCACAAGTTTACTGGATGTGGATATGGTGTAATAAAGGCAGTTTATTCAGAGGTAAATATATCTGGAATCGCGTTCACGGACCCGTTCGTCAAACTCTTAGGGAGCTACAAATTAAGCCCCATTACTTACCATATCAGATAAGAGAAATTGCTGCAGCTACATATATTTTACATCCTGGCCCTACATAGTTCACTATTTGCATCACTTACCAAAATATTACATGTGGTCATATATGCTTGGAAAGTGGAGATGCCATAGAACGTCAAAAAAGTAAACATTGCTGGAGACACATTGCCGTTTTGGAGAAGACATCGCGTTTGCTAGCGAAGAGATTTGTTGTGGCAAATGAACTTGGGCTGGGAATTGCCAGGAACCTCACGATAAGATATATGCATCAGCATTGCGAGTCTCATGATTCTATACGTATTGCGATTCGATACTGTGATTTTATTGCGCACCATATGTCTGTTGCAGAGGGATCAGAAAGCCATGAGAACGAGTTTTGATCAGTCATGGAAATAAAAGTGCTGAAAACAAATTGGCTCCCAATGTGAAAAGATTGAGAACAAGCTATGAAGGAACAATAATGGTGTTTTGGTGCAGGTACAGCCAACTAGCGCTAAAATATTGTGATATTGTCAATACAGTATATCGTAAAGTATCACTATGTAACTCGATTTCTTTCACCCCAATCCCTCAAATTAACGGTAAATAACTGAATTGTTTGCCCCACATTTAGCTAAGATGATTAGCTAGCCAGCTAAAATGTTTTAGTTAGTTAGCAGTCGCATCTACAATAGTTTACTGTCAATAACATGTCTCCAAAAATGACGTGGTGTCTCCAATTGTGTTGACATTTTACAATTGCAATGCGCATCCATGAGTATCCACTTTCTGTAGCTCAGCTGGTAGAGCATGGTGCTTGTAACGCCAAGGTAGTGGGTTCGATCCCCGGGACCACCCATACACAAAAATGTATGCACGCATGACTGTAAGTCGCTTTGGATAAAAGCGTCTGCTAAATGGCATATTATTATTATTATTATTATTATTATCTGAAGAGAGCCCCGAAACATTGTGTGCAGACATTTTATGCAATAAATGAAGTAGGTTCAATCTAGTAGTTCTGATCTTCTGATTGGTCCTGATGAGTTGGGCGAGGTCCCCTGCAGGCTACTGTCACTGTTGCATTGGCTCTGAGTCGGGTTCTCTGTCTTCAAATGTTCAGCCTAAGAGAGGGGATTTTTGTGTGTGTGTGTGTTTAACAGTGATGATGTGTGTGTGTGTGTGTGTGTGTGTTTAACAGTGATGATGTGTGTGTGTGTGTGTTTGTGTGTGTGTGTGTCCTCAGAGCAAGAACTCCTGAGTTGGAAGAACTGAGAGGCCTATGGCGTGGGTGTTGTCCTTGGCCACCTGCTGACAAGGCTGACAAGATAGGACCCTTTTGTCCATTGTTATTGGATAGGAACAGAACTTATAACCAGCTCCTGACCTAAATAGATCTTAGCACAACATTTTACTCAACATATCATATTCCATATTCACTATAACAAATATATTTACTACGACATTAGCAAGAACCGCCACATCCTCAGCCGGCTAATCCAGTGTGTGACGTTTTGCGGAGTGTTTGAGTTAGCTTTGCGAGGCAAAGATGAAACTGAGGGCTCCACCAACCCTGGTAAGCCAACAACACTTTTGAGATCAGTCAATAAATGCTTCTGGTATTGACTTATATGCTGCCCCTGTCTTCATGTTGTTGCTGGACATATCTTTTTTTAAATGTGTGTAGGTCACCTAAATCATCAGAAAAATTGCCCCTCCTGAGAATTTTTTCAGGAGCCGCCACTGTCTGTGAAGGAAAACTATAGTTACACGTCCCTGATCACTCTATTGAAGCCAAAAAACACTGTTTACTTTCTATATAAGATGCAACGCCTTTCAATACAACTTGTGGCTACTTTCTCTCATTGTGCTATTTATAAACAAACACAATGTAAAATAATGTGACAGGTGAAATGAAGAACGCGATCTGCTTATTCTCCAAACGTATTGCACAAAATTGACTGCAGGTATTTACTTAAAAAGTAGCCACAAATATTAAAATGTATAGTTGGTCAGTATACTGTGTGTTACATTACCGTTTTGGGTTTTTACTTTACCATCTATAACGGTATTTTAATGTTTGGTTTATTAAATGTGATACGCCGTATGTAACATCCATTTTTACAGTTTACTTCGCTACTTGAGTCATCTCTCTCCCTCTCTCCATGCCACTTTCTACACATACAGTGCATTCGTAAGGTATTCAGATCCCTTCCCTTTTTTCCAAATTTTGTTACATTACAGCCTTATTCTAAAATTGATACATAATTTTTTCCCTCATCAATCTAGACACAATACCCCATAATGACAAAGCGAAAACAGGTTTTTATATATATTTTCCAAATGTATAAGAAAATAAGAAACAGAAATACCTTATTTACATAAGTATTCAGACCCTTTGCTATGAGACTCGAAATTGAGGTCAGGTGCATCCTGTTTCCATTGATCATCTTGAGATGTTTCTACAACTTGATTGGAGTCCACCTGTGGTAAATTCAATTGATTGGACATGATTTGGAAAGGCACACACCTGTCTATATAAGGTCCCACAGTTGACAGTGCATGTCAGAGCAAAAACCAAGCCATGAGGTCGAAGGAATTGTCCGTAGAGGTCTGAGACAGGATTGTGTCGAGGCACAGATCTGGGGAAGAGTACCAAAACATTCAGCCTTGAAGGTCCCCAAGAACACAGTGGCCTCCATCATTCTTAAATGGAAGAAGTTTGGAACCACCACGAATCTTCCTAGAGCTGGCCGCCCGGCCAAACTGAGCAATCGGGGGAGAAGGTCCTTGGTCAGGGAGGTGACCAAGAACCAGATGGTCACTCTGACAGAGCTCCAGAGTTCCTCTGTGGAAATGGGAGAACCTTCCAGAAGGACAACCATCTCTGCAGTACTCCACCAATCAGGCCTTTATGGTAGAGTGGCCAGACGGATGCCACTCCTCAGTAAAAGGCACATGACAGCCCGCTTGGAGTTTGCCAAAAGGCACCTAAAGGACTCTCAGACCATGAGAAACAAGATTCTCTGGTCTGATGAAACCAAGATTGAACTCTTTGGCCTGAATGCCAAGCGTCACGTCTGGAAGAAACCTGGCACCATCCCTACGGTGAAGCATGGTGGTGGCAGCATCATGCTGTGGGGATGTTTTTCAGCGGCAGGGACTGGGAGACTAGTCAGGATCGAGGGAAAGATGAACGGAGCAAAGTACAGAGAGATCCTTGATGAAAACCTGCTCCAGAGTGCTCAGAACCTCAGACTGGGGCGAAGGTTCACCTTCCAACAGGACAATGACCCTAAGCACACAGCCAAGACAACGCAGGAGTGGCTTCGGGACAAGTCTCTGAATGTCCTTGAACCCGATCTAACATCTCTGGAGAGACCTGAAAATAGCTGTGCAGCAACGCTCCCCATCCAACCTGACAGAGCTTGAGAGGATCTGCAGAGAAGAATGGGAGAAACTCCCCAAATACAGGTGTACCAAGCGTGTAGCGTCATACCCAAGAAGACTCGAGGCTGTAATCGCTGCCAAAGGTGCTTCAACAAAGTACTGAGTAAAGGGTCTGAATAATTATGTAAAGTATTTCGTTTTTGATTTTATGTGCAAACATTTCTAAAAACCTGTTTATGCTTTGTCATTATGGGGTATTGTGTGTAGCTTGATGAGGGGAAATAAACAATTTAATCAATTTTAGAATAAGGCTATAACGTAACAAAATGTGGGAAAAGTCAAGGGGTCTGAATACTTTCCGAATGCACTGTACCTAGCCCCGCCCCGTCACTCAAGGCGCGCATTTGTTGTTCCTCGACCACGAGACAATTGCATTCAGTCTGCATGGGCAATGCAGCACATGTTGATGACAACGATGCTGTTTTCACTTTGCTTCTTGATATATATATATATATATATATATATATACACTACCGTTCAAAAGTTTAGGGTCACTTAGAAATGTCCTTGTTTTCGAAAGAAAAGCACTTTTTTTGTCCATTAAAATAACATCAAATTGATCAGAAATACAGTGTAGACATTGTTAATGTTGTAAATGGCTATTGTAGCTGGAAACAGCTGATTTCTAATGGAATATCTACATAGGCGTACAGAGGCCCATTATCAGCAACCATCAGTCCTGTGTTCCAATGGCACATTGTGTTTGCTAATCCAAGTTTATCATTTTAAAAGGCTAATTGATCATTAGAAAACCCTTTTGCAATTATATTAGCACAGCTGAAAACTGTTGTGCTGATTAAAGAAGCAATAAAACTGGCCTTCTTGAGACTAGTTGAGTATCTGGAGCATCAGCAATTGTGGGTTCGATTACAGGCTCAAAATGGCCAGAAACAAAGAACTTTCTTCTGAAACTCGTCAGTCTATTCTTGTTCTGAGAAATGAAGGCTATTCTATGCAAGAAATTGCCAAGAAACTGAAGATCTCGTACAACGCTGTTGTATCTACTCCCTTCGCAAACTGGTCGTTAGCTGAGAATAGAAAGAGGAGTGGGAAGGCCCCGCGGTGCAACAACGAGCAGGAGGGACAAATACATTAGAGTGTCTAGTTTGAGAAACAGGCTTCAACGCATTCCTCAACTGGAGCTTCCTTAAATAGTACCCGCCAACAACACCAGTCTCAAAGTCAACAGTGAAGAGACTACGGGATGGATTAGCAGAGTTGACAAGAAAAGCTATCTAGATAAGCTTTTTTTGCAATCATTTGAGCTTGCAAGTACAGTACCTCGTTATCGGGGTAGTTCCGAAATGACCGCGATATCCGCGAATAGAAACTTTTTTTTTACATAGCATATACAGTATACAATACATGACTCATTGTAGCTTCACTGTGACAACGCATGTTGAGCGCTGTGCTTTGAAGCCGCGGTGCAGGTGTGTTTGTTCGGGAGAAGAACATAGTGATAGGCAGCTGTTGTCGCTCTTTTTTCTTCTTTGCAAAAAGATCCTTGTACACCGACATGCCACCATCGATTACGTTGGAGAACTGTAATGAACGGCTCATCAAAGGGTCCCATTCCTCAGCTACTCGCTTAAGTTCAGTGGCCATTCGCACCATGGTTGCTAAGCGACCAAGCGTTAGTCCTTCCTCCTCATCTCTCGTGTCCTCTTCTCCCTCTTCTCTTTCATCGTCGCTTTGTGGCTTTGTCATTTACCTTCCCTTAGCATGTCCAGAAGTTTAACTTTATCTGAGATAGGTAGCATCTTCCGCCGTTTGGGCCCATCCGCAGGTGCTTTTGTCGGTCCAGGCCGTTTCGTCGACATTATGGGTTTAGGAGATGTTCGAAATTACAAGATAATTTGGCCAACTTAATGTAAATTTGCCAAGCTGTTTTATGTACGTACACATAACTGCACGAGACGACAAAATGATAGCACAATTCGTAGCATGTTTTGATACAAGAAGCGGGAGTGAGTTTTTAGCGAATCAGAATGCAGAGCACAATGCACCAAAAAAAAAAAAATGCATTATGAAAATCCGCGAAATAGCGAATCCGCGATAAGTGAACCGCGAAGTGGCGAGGGATCACTGTATTAAAATACACAACATTTCTAAGTGACCCCAAACTTTTGAACGGTAGTGTATATATATATATATATATATTACTTTGTGTTTCTTACATCTGCAAACAGCTAGTTTGTATTTTCTTAGCAAGTTGGGCCTAAATCTTGTTAGCCGCTAATGCTAATCACTAGTTAGCTGGCTAGCTAGCTAGCTAATACATGTACTGTGTCAGAACAAATGTAATTAGCTATACAGTCTGATAATACCAGTGATGGTGTAGACCTAAATCAGCATGTTGTTTGTTCAACAGTATCTTCTAAATCAAAGAGGAATACGTGAAGCATGAATATGTTTGCTAGCTACATGAAGTAGCTAAGAGAAAACAATTAAAATATGGCTAAAGATTATAGGGTCCCCTAGGAAACACTTAACAACACTTTGGTTCCTACCCTGTCACAATAACTCCCCCCTTGCATTTTAATTTGTTGTCATGTCAAACAACACTGTATTCAAACAGGCCACTATTATCTATTTAAAAACATTTTGGGGGGAGGGGTACTTTTACCCCTTTTTCTCCCCAATTTCGTGATATCCAATTGGTAGTTACAGTCTTGTCCAATCGCTGCAACTCCCCTACGGACTCGGGAGAGGCGAAGGTCGATAGCCATGCGTCCTCCGAAACACGACCCTGCCAAGCCGCACTGCTTCTTGACACACTCGCTTAACCCGGAAGCCAGCCGCACCAATGTGTCGGAGGAAACACTCCAGCTGGCAACTGAAGTCAGCTTGCAGGTGCCCGGCCCGCCACAAGGAGTTGCTAGAGCGCGATGGGACAAGGAATTCCCGGCTGGCCAAACCCTTCCCTAACCTGGATGACCCCTCATGGGTCTTCCCGTCACGGCCGGCTGTGACACACCCTGGGATCGAACCCAGGTCTGTAGTGACGCCTCAACACTGTGATGCAGTTCCTTAGACCGCTGCACCACTCGGGAGGCCCCCACTATTATATTCTAACTATATAATTCGAATAATCATTCTATCTATCGCAATTGCAACATTTGGTTAAAAATAAGGCCTAGATTGTTTGCCCATATCGTACAGTCCTATGTTGCAGTGTGGAAATGATCTCAAATGAGTGCAGGAAATGCAGAAATGTATTAAAATGCAGAAAATTATTTTGGGTTGAAGTTGTATTGAACAGTATAAAACAATCAGAATGGAGAAAGATGCATTGAAATCGCTTAGAATGTATGTGTTGTCACCCTAGGGTCACGCACTACTCATAAAGCAAATGTATAACTTGTATTATTCAAAAACATAAAATACCATCCCATACCCAGGTATACGGTATATACAGTATACCGCCCAAGCCTGTCTCTAACTCATATGCAGTATACACACAACACCATGTGCTTTCCAAGTCATACACAGTACAAACACTACAATGTGAATTTCTAACATAAGACATGTCCCTGAGCCCCTCTCCAGAAAGCTTGCCTCCTCCTGATAGACAGAGAAGAGTCGATTAAACAATTAAAGAGTGGCAACTGGGCAGTATTAATCCAGAAGTGGCCATTAGATAAAGTAGATGGCCTGCATCTGAGAATCTGACACTACTCCTGGGAAAATTAGCCTTAAGACCCCAGGACACAATATCCATCTCCATTACTAAACACTCTGCCGTTCCATTAGACAAAATTAAGGAGTGAGGTAAAGCATATATTTTGTGCCATTTCCAGATGAGGTTTACGGGCTGTGTGGGAATGACACAAATAAAAAATGTCTCCCATTCGCATGCAGCTGTTTAATGAGAGGGATAGTGGAGTGTACATTAACACACATAATATTACTGTATCTCTCTATTCGAGCTGTAATTGCCACCTGCACGTTTCGGAGTGGCAATCTCGATCCGTTTGGTCACAAGATAATCTGAGAGAGAGAAGAAAAACCTTTATAGCCATTCACATCGCCTACACAAAAAATGCACTGCAGCACGGTAGCTATATATACATATCTTTTTTTAAACCTGAACTTCTAATGTAGCATTAAGGTTAGGTCAAACACAACAGCATGTCACTGATTTGCAAGCAATGAGGTCCAACAACAACAACAACAACAACAACAACAACCCCTCTTTGTATCTATCAGTAAGAGTAGGCCTCTGCTCCACAATAGACAGCAGGTTGCTTTAGATACATTATCCAACAGGCTGGTGGGGCACAGCCCTGTACCTCCACTCCCTTCAGGACAGGACCCCTCTAGATGAAGACTCTTTCATGTGTCATGAATGTCCCCCCGTCAGGGTGAGCCCGAGCTGGCTTACCTAGCACCATGGTCATGTACTGCTCCTCTACCCCAGCCTCCAGCAGCAGGGGGGGAACGTACGTGATCCCAGCTGCCACACAGATCTCCAGGCCGCAGGTCAGGGAGTTCAGCAGGACGAGACGCCACTGAGACCTCCATCCAGGCATATTTACAGGGTCGCCTTTCCACCGCTACGCCGTTACAGGGGGCTGCTGCCGGGAGAGGGAGAGGCAGATGGTGCCCCGTGGGATGAGGCTCGGGGACAAGAGGACTGCCGCGGAGGGAGAGCAGGGAGGACACACTGACACTGTCTCAGATGACCTGGAGGATCCATTCTGGTTTCAGCATTCTGGATCTGAAAGAACAGAACAGAGGAGAGAGAGACAGGCGTTGACAAAAACAGAAAAACTGATTAACTCACTTTGGGAAAACATGAAGGCTGAGAGCTAAGACCGGCCTGAGGATGGAGGAAAGCCAGGAGAGAAAAGGGCCCACGCATGCTGAGCCAGACAGGTCACTCTCAGGCTAAAGCACCTGGTTGTCAGACGCCTCAGGCACCGAAATTGCTTGATTGCTGCTGCCGCGGAGAGGCTTTCTCACAAGACAAAGAGGAGGACTCCAACACGCAGAGACAGGGACTGTTAGAAAGCCACAACCAGACACAAAGGGATTGATACACAAACTTGACTGCTCAGCTTCAGGGCAGCTTGAACAACAGAGAGATGAGTCAGCCCGATGTGGCAACGTGGCAAATGCACCTATTTGGCACTATCGTTCCCTCTCTGTTTTCTTAAGGCGGGAGAGGGAAGGAGGGAGGGCATGACAAAAGTGGTTGTTGACAAAGAGAGAAAGAGAGAGAGAGACATTCCGGAGGAGCTTTCGCTCTCTCCTGCCTGCAAGGCTACAGCAGCAGGTGGTGTCTGGGAGCCGGCTCTCTGCTCTGTCATTAAACTATCTGAGGCCTGCTAACACGGAGCACCTCACTCTCATTTTCACCCATTGTTCACCTGAATCGCTGCTAATGAGCCCGTTTCTACCACTCTCTCCCTTGAGAGGACCAGGACCTCACACACAACGAACAGCAACATTGGCAGATCAACTCAGACCGAAGGTGATACTAATTCTGTGTCATTTTCTTCTAAGCTCTAATAACCATACGATACACAGGGGTCTTTTAGGCAAGATATGCGGATAGACAACGGCCCTGACTCCAGGCAGCAATGTCATCCATTCAAATTGGAGTAAAAGGCATAGTGAGCATAATGAGACCTTGTCTAGATGAGGGTCAATAGTGCCAAGAGCAAAATAATATTTCCTGGTCTTCCAACAAAATGAGCGATGTGGCATTACCTTTAGTTCCACTCCAGTAGACAGAAGGAAAGTACACCCTGATCTGATGATCCCGCTTCAAAGATGCAAGTGAACGCTGCATCAACAGAGCCTAAACAGATCTAGGCCTACATCATTTACTGATTCTGATGTCACAGTTCCACAAACGTCTGCCCCATCACACACACAGAAACACACAGACACATGCTCGCACACACACCCACATGCAGACAGAGCAGGACCCAGCACCATCCCATGCGTAACAGAACACCAGAGTGTGCCCCCTGCATCTCCCAGATTGTTTCCTCTCACAATCCTCCTGTGCCTGACATCTCATCTCTACTGAAGGACCTCTCCCCCCAACAATGACAAGACGTGCCATTCTCCATTTCACGCCTTACTTCCTGCACACCTCTCCTTCACTAACCCTGAGTCCTTTCTACACAAATACCCCTCTTTTTTCATACATATTATTTTCTCATGAGAGCAAAGCTTGATTTTTATCTGAAGGAAATTGAACAGGAAAAGCACAAAGCGAGATAGATATCGTATCAATTGACTGAGAGAGCAACAGCAGCGTACTCTAACCCTCAACTGAACTCATTCACTGAGGTGATGCAATATCACGTATAGGAACAATGAAAGAACACTCCAAAGAGCATGGATCGAGTGTTCCTCAAGTCGGTCACTCGGGAAGAATTTATTGGGAGAAACCCCAGCTGATATAGGATCAGATTTCCTCAGCCTAGGTACCAGACTGATTCAGAGTCAGACAGAAAAGGAAATCTTGCCATGTTCCAGCCTCCTAAGAGAAAAGACTACTGCCAAGGTGCCATCTGTGCAAGAGATGTGTGAGAACACTGAGAACAGCCACAGACGCAAAAACAACAAGGTGCTAAATTCATATTTGGTGTGAAATTCCTCCGCCAGTGTGGTCCATCTGTTCATCCCTAGCAAATCAAATGGATATGTCATTCTCAATAACAGACTCAGTTAGTAATGACAAGCCCAGCACAGTAAATAAATACTGTTCAAGTGCACAGAAGGAATTGGCTGCATTTACATGGTGAGTTGAGTCTGTGTCCTTCAGGTGGTGAAGAAACAGAAAAACAACCGCATTAGGCTGTTTGTAGAGTGGGGAAACGAGTTCATTCAAATGTTACGTAAATGTTAGAATAACATCTCTTTAAATCGAATAGCAGGTAATTCAACCCAGCATTGAATACAATGAATGATCTCATCATCATAGTGTCAGTGAGCAACGTGAGAGTAGAAGCGGGACAAATCAGATGCTTTGGCAGCCAGGAACCAGCAGGGGCCTGGGTCACTCCTATGGAGGAGAGAGGGGACTTTCACACCCGTCAAATCCCATTCCTACCCGCCCCAAACACCCTGAAAAGAGCCCATCAGGGGACCAGCCAGTGCCTCCACTGTCTGTACACACGTCATCTTCTCCCCATCCCCAAACCACCCTCTCTCCCCCTCACTCCTTCAGTGCTGACCTGCATTCTATGAATTCTCAGAGGACTTCTGACATTTCTGCCCACGACTGGTTATTCTTTGATGACTTTGAATCACAGTTTGAATGCCCTCTATTCCCATCCATCCCAGCTGAGTCCAGTCCCAGTCAGACTTCCTCACTGAAACCACAAGCTCCACATGACATGAACAGACAAGGAATATTGTTTTGTGCAGACTCCAGGGTTTGAAAATGGAATGGCTGCAGAGGTATTGACCTAAGCATTGGTGGCCATACTGAGTCAGGGATGAGGTGGGGGGGGGGGGGGGAGTCAGACTACCGTGCAGAGAATTGATCAGCACATTTAGCGAACCCTGAATTATGTGTCAAATAAAACCCACGTGTTTGGTTTAAAGCTGGCACTCCTCACAAATAACATCAACATGGCACAGAGCGGAGCTCTCGGGAGCCAACTCCTGCCTTGACGGAGCAGAGCGAGGTAGCCGAGACACACACAGCAACCCACACAACAACCATTCCACACAAGTTTAATGACACCTCTGACTCCACAATATATAATTCCAGTCATGCTCATCGATTGTCTGGCTATAACCCCAGCCATACTTAATCAGAGCATCAGCCCTTAGAGTCTTCTGGAGTGATTACACACACAGGAACTAGGCACAGGGGCAGCCAGAGCCAGCTATTGTAGAGAGAGAGAAGGGGCTGAGGGGGGAAGAGAGAGGAGGAGGAGGAGGAGGGGGAAGAGGTGCTTTTGTCTCGTCAGCCCTGCTCTCCCTTTGCTCCATTACCAGGCCCATTCAGTCCCAGGCCCCCCAAATCAGCCTTAATGTCTCTGAGGGGTATTATTACAATACAAAACAGGCTTTGTATACATTGTGCCAGTCTGAGTAACTTGATATAGTGAGGTACCAGGCCCGTTCAATTGGGCTTTTATTAATGCGGGGTTTCATATAAAATGGTACAAAAAAACAGCAACTGGAGAGTCTGTGTCTGTGAGTCTGAGAGAGGAGGAGGAGAATTGCTGCGATATGACATCAGAACCACAAGTGCTGCTTCGGCAGCGGATGAAGAAACCTCAAGGAGGCTCTTGTGGTGTTCTGGCTCCCTCTGAATGGCTGCAGGGAGACAGCACACTAGTTCTCCCCCTCTGTGTTCCTGTTCAGGGACTGCTGGCAGGAGACAGAGGAACAGAGCTGTGTCTAACAACAGTAGGCCGCCTGCGTGGCTTTAGCCTCCAGTCTTCCAGACAGTGAATTCCAGATGGATTCCAGTTGAGGTTGAGCAGGCTGGGGACTGGGCTGGGGAGGATCTCTCACTTGAGAGGCCTTCTCTTTGGAGCCTCAGACTCCCATCACATGAGAGAGGCTTGCCTAACCCCACTGCCCTCCAGGCCCATAATCTTCCCCCCACATCTGTCACACATGACCCCTGGCTTTGGCTGCCAATCATGTGACCAACAGAACAGCTCGAAGAGCGAATGACAGTCTCAGTCTGGTATTTCCATCTTAATGCGAGACATTGGCACATGAATTTAGTGAACATTACAGGGCTGGCTGTCGATCAGTTGACTGAAAGAACTCTGTCTGGGCTGAGGAGGAAAGACGTCCTTGTCTTATTTCTGAAGAGTCTAATAATACATTTGGCCGTGTCACTCTCCAGCTACATAATTAGGCCAATGACTCAGAATACATCTTTAATTTAAAGTTATAGGCAATTCATTTTTGTTATTCATTGTTTTGAAACGTCATTTGTCTATGCATGTAGCCTATATAAAGTACAATGTTTTTTTCAAGATTAAATTGTCTATTACGCCTTTGACCCTGCACGCATCACTCCATCCCTGCACCCCGGGGGGCAGTGCTGGTTAGCCTTTCTGACAGACAGACAGGGGATCCATACACACATACAGTTATCAGGTGGACACAAGAGGAGAGGAATGCAGGCTGGGGGTGGAAGAGAGGAAGATCAGCACCCCTCCCAGTCCTTTCAAACTGTTGAATGGAGCCAGTAACAGATCTGGTAGGTGACCGTTATCACACTCAGCACGTAAATAGTACAACAATGGAGCACCACAGATTCCAGTCCTGTAGCCTCTTGTGAATCAACGCCTGATAACGTCCCTGAGGACCGCTTCTTTTCACTGCCTCAAACCCTATTATGTAAAGGTGAAAGGACTAATGTGAGTAAATAGCCTCTTAATAGATTCGTTTGCACTAGTTAATTGAGAGGCCAAAACCTGAAATTAAATGGTTTTCATCCCATGCAGAATTGCCATACAGTTTAATAAAATTGATCTCGCTCATATTTATAGTATTAACTAAAACAGAGCTTTCAAACCGTCTGCCATCAAATGGT